AGTATATTACTAATTAATAATAATATATATATATATATATATATATATATATATATAATTTATTTAGATATAAATGTATTTTTTATGTATATTATTAATAATATTTTTTTATTATTTTTAAGTTATATTTTTTTTTATTAAAAATTATTTTTAATAATTTATATAAAATTATTATTATAAATTCTTTATCATTAATTATTATATTTTTATTAAAAATATTTCTAATATAATTAACTATAATTACTAATAATATTTTAATTATTTAAAATTTTATTAATAACATTTTTTTTAATTAATATATTTTATAAATTATATATATATTAATATTTTTCAATTCATTAATCTTTAATTAAAACTTGTCTAAAATTAAGATTGATTCTATTTTCATTTAAATAATTAATTACATGTCTAAAATTATTATCAAAAAATTTAATTTCTTTTTTGTCCTCTATGTCTTAATAAGCTTCCTAAAAATTATTATTAACCCATTCTATGTGTTATTAACATTAAAATGACTTTTCTATAACTCTTGGTACACCATGATAACAATTTCTACTATATCCACTCATAACCATTAAATCTCCTGAGTCAAGTTTAATAGGTAATGGACTGAAGTCCTTATTAACATCTCCCATTAAGAAAACACACGAAACTCCAAACGAGAAACTAAATATTGGTGATTTTTAGTCTTTTTCCCCATCATCTAAATGCCCTGACATATAGTTTTTTTTATCATAAAAGTTAATAATAACAGCTTCTGGTTCATATAAACTAACATCAGGAATCTCTTTTTGGAATAACTCTTTGGAAATTTTTGATAAGTTTTATATTAATTCAGGAATTTCTGTCGAAAATGAAGGATATTTTCGATTATCCCAATCATATTAAGCCCCAACATTTGTCCATCTAATTTTTTTGTTAAAATGGTACTTTTTATAATCGTTTATTAAAAATTTGTTTAAAGAGTATTCTTTCGATTGTATACTTTTATTACTATATAATTATTCATTTTCTTTATTTTTATCTTTACTATAGTATTCTTTTTGTATTTCTGGATTATATGTTTTCTACCAATCAGGATTTTCCTCATATATAAATAGATTCGTTCTATATGGTTTTTTTATATAATTATTTAAACATTATTATGCTATTTCTAATTATTGTTGTATTGATAATAAATTTTTCACTATATAAACTCCAGGAGGAAAATTAAATTTGTAAACTGTCCTGTCGGACATGTTTAATTTCGTTATATTATGTTTGTCTAAGTCTATTTTAGGATCGTTTAGGTCTATTATTTCAGAAAAATCGGTTTTTTGATTTTCGTAAAATCTGTACTTTTTTTCCATTAATTTGAAATTGTTCATTTTGTCCATTTGTACATTGTTAGGTAAATAAATAGCTTTTGTTTACATTATTTTTAATTTTAATAATTAGAAAAACTAATATAATATTAATTATTTATAAATTTATATATTAAAATAATATATATATATATATATATATATATATTATATAAAATTATTATTTTTATGGATATTTATATAATATATAAATTTATATTTATTTATTTTTTATTTTAATTGAATAATTTTATTTTATTTATCGATATTCTTATCATCAATTCTAATTTTAAATTTATACTGTTTTATATAATATTGGGAAAAAAATTTTATATTCTATTTATTTCTAAAAGAATTCGTTTAAAAATGCAAATACTTTTTCAAATTTCTAAAATAAAATAAAATAAAATATATATATTAAAAAAAAAAAATCAATCATTTTAATTATATCCTTAAAAATATTTGTTATGTGTATTAATAAATATAATATATTATATTCTTTTAAATTCATTTTTAATTTTTAAATTGATTTTTTATTTTATTAATACCAAAAAAAATATTTTTAAATAAATATATAATAATTATACCATTAAAAATAATAGTTTATCTTCACACATTTTTATTAGTAAAGTAAAGAAATACATAGCACTAAGGAAAGAATTCGATTAATGATTATTATTAACAAGATTTAAATATTCTCTTTTAATAAGTTAAAGATTATAAATTTAAATTATTAATTCATTATAGATATTTTATGAATTATTCTAAAAATAATTATATTAAATTAATCATCATGATATTATATATATATATATTATTACTTTATGCCATATTATAGCAGTAATCATAGATAAAGCTTCATTTCTCAATGGTGCAAAATTTCTAAAAGGTAAAAATTTAAGTGAAGATCTATATGAGCCAACTTAAAATTCAGTTTCATTCTAGAACGCTTATGAGCATAAATATTTTATAAAATCATTTTATAATAAAAATTCTATCTAAAAATCATTTTTGCTATTTAATATATTTTCAAAAATAACTACTCTGAAATTAGTTTCTTCTACATAACACTATTTTTTTTTTATTTTATTTTTTATTTATTTATTTTTTACTTATAGAATGTGTATATTTTCAGTATTTTGATTAATAAAAGAAATCACTAATTTATGCTAAAGTTTTAATAAATCTATATAAAACCTTCCAAATTAACAATTATTTAATAAATCAAATATATAATCATGATTCATTTCTGTAAAAGTAATAATAATTCTCATATAAATATGTGCTACAGGAGTAAGCTTACATGACATATATTATTTTAATTTAATGTCTTCTTTTTAATTATTATGATAGTCATAAATATATTTAATTAAATCAAACATCCATAATAATAATTATTATGAAAATTACATATCATCTAATAAATATATATATATATGTATATGCTTTATATATATATATATTACTCTTATTTAATATAATATAGTTTAAATTCATATTAGAAATACTTTCCAAAAAAATCGAAAAATAATTTATAATATCTAATACATATTCATTAAACTATGCATATTCTTTTAAAGTTTAAATTACTTTTTGTGCAAATCTACATACATAATTTATCAAAAGCTTAGCTTCGACAATAATATTACTATCATTAGAAGGAATTAAGTAAAATTTTACCCAACTAATAATATGATCTAGACATTTTTAAATTTATTTGTGTAAATTTTTCAAATGATTAAAGTTTCCGCTTTTTTCTCTTATTTCTTTCAGTATATGATCTTTTTAAGAATTAAAGAAATTATTAATCTAATCGATTTATTAAGATAAATAATTTAAACTGATTTTATTCGGCACAAATAAATCCCCTTCTTTTAAAAGAGCCTTAATTCCCGGAGTATACTCCAAAATGTCAATAATTTCAGACCTAGAAGCTAAAATTATTTCTTTAAAAACGTCTTTAACTAAAGGAGCCAAAATTTTATTTATTTTTTAGTCATATCCTTACTTAGGTTTAATTAACAATCTTAAAATACTCGCAAAAACATCTATAGAGCAAGTATTTAAAGATTTAATGATAGTCTAAGGGGCACAAGTTAAGTTTTTGAATATATTCAATGCCAATATTTTCGAGTTTATTAATTCTGCTTTTGTTTTGAAAATCGAAAATACACTCGTTATTAATATTGGAGTTTCGAAAATAAATGCTAATTAATACAAATATTATTTATTTATCTATTAACGTAAAAAGTAGTAGTTGTTTGCACATTCAATATATCTTTTACGGTCTAATTTATCTTCATAAACTTAATTTATATGTGCAACTATACCAAAGTTTTTATTAATTTCTTCACTTCTTAATTCTCTCTATATTAATAATAATTATTAATTAAATATTTAATTTAATTTTTACTTAATTCTAATAAGAATAATTAAATTAAGCAAACCCTTAAGATATTTCTAAAAATATTTCTAATAAACTTTATCTAACATGGATATCTTCTGTACTTAATAAGGATATAATATACAAAGGAGCTTTTAAATCCAAAAATAATTTAATTTTATCTGTATTATTACTTCTTAAAATACTCTTAAAATAATTCAAAACAATTTTTAAACTAGATAAATTTCCTATTATATTATATGATATTATTAGATATATATATATAAATATATATATATATATATATATATATATATATATATATATATATATATTTAAATATGTTTTTTTTTTTATTAATATTTATATTATAAAAATTTACCTTATAATTAATCACATTGATTTAAAATATTTAAACTTTCAGTCATATTAATAATATCATTATAATAATCCTAGCTTTTCGGTAATCTTTAATTTACTTAATCGTTGAGTATTTTTTTCTTTTTATCTAGATCAAATTCTGAATAAACATATTTACTATTACAATATTTAATATAATCTGCCAAGACAATTAATCCACTTTTTCCTAATCCAGTTTCCCCGACTGTTTTTCTCATCAAATCGACTAATACATTATATAAAATCGGCGACCAATTTCTACTTAAGAAAATGAAAGGTTTCGTGAAATTGATTTAACTCCAAGCTTTATCAGCCTCATCTTAAACATTAGAATCCACATTTCTTTTAAAGAATCTATCAAATTTAAGCACTTTCTAATATTCTTAATATAAGTTACTTTAAGGTACAAACTAAAAATACTATGAATTTTACTTATTAAAGGCATGAACTAGATCTGAGCATAACATATACTCTTCCCCTATAAAAAACTTTACGAAATTATTCAAAAGCTTATGTACGAAAGGTGCAGTGGGATTATTATAAGAATCAAGTTAAAATAACATCTATTAAAACAGGTTTTTTAATCCTTTCAAAACTTATAAAGAACTACTTGTTAAAGCTTGAATTTTCTATTGATTTTTTTCGGCTTTGTCAATAGAAGTATTCGTTCCAAGTTTTTTTTCTTTATCTAGAATTTCCTTATGGTGCCTTAAAGCTAAAAAAACTAGCAAATCTAAAATATCATTATCAAATATAAACTATATAAGAACTGCATTTTAGTGTTTATTTCTTTCTTTTTCACTTTCTTTTAATAAGCTTTTCATTTTTTTCGGCAATTTAGCTTTATAGAAACTATTAGTGGTAACATTATCCCCAAAATGTGAGAATTATAACTCGTTTTCTTTATTAATTTAGTTTGAGTTTACTATTTCAAGAATATAATCAATAATCCTTATTAAATCAGACTAATAAGTGTCTAATTTTCCTACGTTTTTAATCGAAAAAGCACACAACATCCTCAAAGGTTCAAAGGCTTTTTGTCTTAAAGAAACAGAAGGTGATTTATAAAAGATTATCATCTAAAATAAATCTAATGATCTCTAAACATCAAAGCTTTCCATTTAAAAAACTGGAGAAGATAATAAACCCAATATACTCGGTCTTTTAAAAGGCTAGAATTACAAACAAGCCGAAATCAAATTAAGAATATTTCCCAAATCATTAAATTCAGGTTCATTTTATACAAAAATATTATTAAAAGCATTTCCAAAAGTCAATTTATCAATAGCTTTTATCATTGCATTTTGCTCGTTTTTTTCGATATGGTAATTATTATAATCCAACCTTAGTATTTCTTAAATAAGATCATCTGAATAAATATCATAATGGAAATATTTACTAGGTTCAGTGAATATTTCTGTATTTAAATTATTTTATTTCCCAATAAATTACAATAGACTCTCATAAAAGCTCTTTGGGCTTTTCCCAAACAGAATATTATACATTAAACATCCGAAACTCCATACATCAACATAAGCTGTCCATTCTTATGTTTTTTTTAGAACTTATTCAGGTGCTATGTAGCCTTATTTATATAAATTTTCCTTATAGACCTTCATGAATTAATTTTGGGTATTATTATTGGAAAAATAAGCCTAATAATTTTATAAAAGTTAATCTTTTTCATAATTTAAAGGCCCAACTTTTTAAACTAAATTAATTTCTAGATCAGGGACTAATTTGATTTTTGAAAAAACGTCGAATTCTCCTAAACCTCTTAAATTACTTAATTTTATTTAAAATGTTTTCCTATTTAAATATATATTTTCTGGTCTTAAAATATTCAAAATACACCCTTAATTATTCACATTTTATATAATATTTAAAATCTAAATACCTAAGAATTTTATTATATAAGTAATCGATTTTAATTTTACTAAATTAGGAATTCTAATAAGTCCCCCGTTTTAATTTATTAAATCATTCAAGCAAATATACTCAAAAGGATCCAAAGCTTCATTTATAACATAATATTATAAATTATCATTCTCATGTCCTATTTATTTTACAAATATTCCGATGTTTTTTACCATGAAATTGTATTTTGATTGTAATAATTAGTGCATTTTTAATTCAAAATCGAGAATTTTAGAGAATTAATTACCATCTTAACATACCTAGTTTAAGGCTTCTTTTGTATATACAAATATATCTACAGGCTTATTTTCTTAAAATAATTAACCGCTATAATATTTTATATAAGGAGTTAAATATTATAAAGAACTTTCATCAATTTTATAATTGATTTCGTCTATAAAAGGTAAAGGTAAACTATGAGTTAATTATAATTTTGAATTTTCAAGAGTTTAAGTATCGATTATTGCGTAGGTATTTTTATCAGGATTTAAATAAGCTTAACATATCATATCGTTAATTAAATTTTATGATTAATTTCTTAAATTACGAATTACATTACTAAAACTTTCTTATAATATCTTTTTTATTTTTATTTTTATTTTTGTTTTTATATTTTTTTTTACAGAAAATAAATGGCTTATTTCTTTTAAAGAATTCTATTTAGAAATTAAACTAAATCCTCTCAATTTTTATTTACTTTTTAAATCTTTTAGCAAACTCTTAACAGCAGAAAACTTATATTTTTAATAATTATTTAATATAATATATATTTATATATTTATATAAATATATTTATTTATATATATATATATATATATAAATATATATAAATATATATATATTTATAATTATGTTTTTACTTAAGATTTAATATCTTTTAAAGTCTAAAAAAGATTATTGAAGCCATCAAAATATTAAATAACATATCCAAATAAATTAATATCTAGAGTAATATAAGTTTAATAAAGATCATCTTTATTTTTAGATAGAACAATTTAAACTTCAGTTTCATTTATTTCTTTCTACAATATAGCTGAAACTTTTTTAATTGAAATTTTATCTTATTATAAATCTTACAATCTATGACAAATTCTCTAAATAGAACTATCTGGAATACAACTTTTATTTTCTATTTATTTAAATAAACTGGTAAATTGATAAGGGGTTAAAAATCCATCAAAATCTTCATCAAACTAACTAAAATATTCTTCTAAACTAATTTCTTTTTTCAAAAATTTTGTTAATTTAAAAATAAACATTTTCATAGGTCTATCTTTCCATTTAACTTATTCTACAATTTTTGATTCTTTTATCTAATGATAAAAAAATATTAATATAAAAATAATATTAAAATATATTAATTTTAAATAAGATTAAATTTAAAAATATTTATAATATATATATATATATATATATATATATATATATATTTTATAGGGGTATATATATATATAGGGGTATATAAATGGGTATTTATATATATGGGTGTTTTTTATGCGTATTTATATATATAGGTTTTTTATTTTTATTTTTAATTTTATTTTATATCATATAATAATAGGGTTATTTATTAATATTTTTTTTTTTTTTTTTTTAATTTTTGTAAATAATGTTTTATTATTTTAAATATATTTTCATTTTATTATATATCGAATAAGAAAAAATGCAGAAAAATTTAAAATATTTTATATAATATATTATTTTACGTATAATCCATATTTAAACATTCTAGTGTCCATCGCTTA